TGGCCATGTGGGAGTCCAATGCCTTTAACACTATACCACCTGCTGGCCTTGGCTATCACGTTTTTCATCTTTCAGGGTTTTTGTTTTGTTTTGTTTTGTTTTGTTTCCCGCTTTTGGGAGAAAGAAAGGGAACAGGAGAAAGACATAGGCAGACATTTTGACAGGGTCTGGCCACATTACGGTCCTACTTTCCTAAAGCCTTCCAGTCAGGCATGCATGGCACATTCCGTTTGGCCTTGGAACTGAACCTTTTCCTCCCACATGGTTTCAAACCTCCTAAGGAGTGCTGTGGACCACCGTGACTAGGCTGCTTTTTTTTTTTTTTAAATGTTTCTTATATGAATATTTTAATTGTAGCTTCCAAAGTGGTGTTATTAAAATAGTAATGAAGTTGGGAAAACTACTATTGTACTAATCATAGTAACATAACAGCTTGTAGTTTTCTTTCATTTTATTATATTTTTAATTATTTGAAATTATCAGTCAATGTAATACCTGTTTTTGTACGCATAACTGTCTAGATTTACACATAGGAAATCTGAGTTGTAGACAGAATAAGTTACATGCTCAAATTCACAGATACTAGAAATGCCTTGACTCTCTGACTTGGGTAAATTTTTTTTCCCCTTTATTAAAGTACAGTAACTCTCAGAAATCATTCCTTTATTTATTAGATACTCTATAGCAAAGATTCAAAAATAAAGTCTATGGTGAATGTCTAGAATAGTGAGTAACCTTATTTGCCTGGAGGGCAAGGTATTTGGGGATAAGGGGGATAGCAAGATCAGACTGGAAGGGCAGTAAGAGAGCCATTAACTGAACATTGGAATACCATAATAAAAATGTGTGCCTTAGACATTTAAGCAGGAAGAAATGAACAGATTAGAAGAATGAACAAAATCAGAAGTCTAGACAATAATTAATGATGGCTGAAGTATTAAAAACTGAAAGGGAGAAATAAATTTAGGAACCATTATAGAAATAAGATTCCCAGGACTTGGTGCCTAAGAACAGTGCATTGAGGGGAGAAAGTGTCAAAGATGTTTCCTAAGTTTCATATAAGACTGCCTTGGAAAATGTAGGAAAAAAATAGGAGCTTGATGGGGAAAATGTATTTTATTTTGGACATGCTGGGGTTGAAGTCTCCACAGGATGTCCAGCTGCAAGATTTGTGACTACCAGGTAAATTGTAAATGGAAAAGGAAGCTCAGAAATCAAAGCTGGAGGTGCCAGCAGGTGACATGGTGGTTGGAGTGCCGGGCTCCCATGTGGTCAACCACGGTTCATGTCCTGGACCAGGCAACTTGCTTTCTCGCTTTTCCTTTCTCTGTTTCTGTCTGGTCAAATTAAAAAAAATAATAATAACAAGGGAACCAGCAGTTAGCGTAATGGCTATGTCACTGGACTCCCACATAGTTGACCGCAGTTCGTGTCCCAGACCCGGTGGCTTAAGACTCATGCCGGGCGCATGTGCGAGCGTGCCCAAGATCCCGAGAGGAGAATAGAGGAGAAGGGATTGTGGCGTGACCATCCCCCCTGGGGGGTGATTTCTCGCTTTCTGTCTCTATGTCTCTGTCTGTCTGGCGAGCACACGTGCCCTACAGTGAAAATCTCTCCAAAAAACAAATAATAATAATAATAACAAATGGAATTAAACAAATAAGCCATTCATTTCTTAAAAAGTCTTTAAAAAAAAAAAAGAAAGAAATCAGAGCTTGCTAGAGTCCTAAGCAGGGAAATTATTTCTGTAGAAGGAATAATTAATGCCATATTGTCACTTCTTTCCCAGTACTTCACTCCCTTGCATTTGCGTAGCCTCATTGTATTTGAGTAACACATGAGAGTGTTGTATCTTGACAGCTGGCATGTGATTTAGATTTGTGCAGTCACAGCAAGAAGGAACACGCTAGGATTCATAGGAGCCCAGCTTTAAGCAATTTGGCATGATTGACAAGTGGGAATCTCTGGCCGTTTAGGAAGGCTGTTTTTGTTGTAAGGACAGAAAGTGAGTAGAGAACCCCCTTTATACTTGGTGTTGGTTAGCCTTTTGTATATACTGTCTTTATTTCTTAACAGCTCCATGAAAATGGGAATATCATCCTCTTTTTACACATTATAAAATGGAGGCCAAGAGAGGCTAGGTAATATTAGGGCAAGAATTTGAACTAGATGGATGTTTCCTTTGATTTGGTTGGTCTGTGTCATATTTTGCCATGTTTTCCAGTAAACCTTGTCAAATACTGCTATCAGGCTTATGATCAAATACAATTTTTAGCTCCTTGCCTTCGTGTAATAAACACCATGCTTCAGATTTTAAATATTCATTGAATTCTAGCTATGGATTGTCATTTGTTTGTAATAAAATGAATTTTAAAAATTAAAATTGAGCATCCAGCAGATGGTGTAGTGGTTATGTCACTGATCTTCCACACAGCCAACCGTGGTTTGAGTCCTGGACCTGGTAACTTGAAAATCATACCAGGTGTACTTGTGTGGGTGCTCATGATCCTGGAGAAATGGAGAGAAGGGATTGCAGTTTGGCCATCCCCCTGGGGGTGATCTTTTTTTGGGGGGGAGAGAGGTTTTTACTATAGGGCGTGTGCGCTTGCTGGAAAGACAGAGACATAAAGTGAGAAATCACCACCCAGGGGGGATGGCCACTCTGCAATCCCTTCTCCTCCATTCTCCTGTTGGGATCTTACACACGTACGCACATGCGCCCAGCGTGAGTTTAAGCCACTGGGTCTGGGACTCGAACCTCTGTTGACTACGTGGGAGTTCAGTGACATAGCCATTACACTAATTGCTGGTCCCATGATTTCTCACTTTCCCTCTCACTGTCTGTCTCTGACACATATGCCCCTAAGGCAAATACCTCCTTAAAAAAAAATGAAAGTTGGATCACATATATCCTCTCAGATGTACATACATTCTGCAGTGTTTACAAATGCCAACATTTTTTTATTTTTTACTCTACTGGATATATGGAACTTTATTTAGAAGGATGAATGGAAAGCTCAAAAGATATTGAAATTACATATTTCCACAGTGCCCTACTCCCAGTTAGCTGAAATTTTTTTGTCATTTATGGCATTACTAGAAAAAACTATGATATAGTTCTAGTTCACATAGCTTTTGTTGTTTTTTTTTTTAATTGTCAGAGGGTATGGGTATGTGTGCCTGGGGGGAATAGACCTCTCGCTCGTGGGGCGTGGTCATATTACAGTCTTTTCTGTCTCATTTGTCCATCCTGTTGGAATTTGGGGCATGCATGCACACACATCCAGCATGTTTTTCGTGGGGCTGGGATTTGAAGTATGCAGTCAGCCGTGTGGGATCCGGCTCCTTAACCTCTAGACTCTAGGGACAGCTCCAGTTTGCATGGTTTTAAATAGGCAGGAACAAGATCAGATATTCTAAGATACTAAGTCTTTATTTGTACCATGAAATGTCTCACAGTTTTCAAGCCTGGGTAGAAAGGGGTACATTTACTTTACCATCTTTTGTTTACATTTGTATACTGCTTCTCAACAAACTAGAAGCAAGAAATGTCATCTGAAACCTGTAGGATAGTGTCAAATACAGAAGCAGTGTGGTTTTTATGTATGTGCTGTTTCTGTGGTATTCAAAATGAATGATATTTTCTTTATTTTACTCCTAAAAACATATTTTAGAGTTTCTTAATATTTACCAATACCCAGTGAATCATGAGAGAGGAAATTCATACTGAATATTTACTTCTAGCTTGAACATCTTTTGTAGCTGAATTATGATTCTTTAGATGCCATGCACAGTAAACCACACTTCCTTTCTTTAATATTGCTCTTTGTTCCTTGGGAAGATGCTGCAAGAAAATAGGAATTTCCCTTCCCCATTACCCCTCTGGCCGTGGGTTTCAGTCTAATTCCTGATGCTCTGTCTTAGTTACTACCCCTTCTCCTTGCTAGCAGTCTAAGTACTGCTTATCTGCTAAGGGGGATTCCAGACAGAGGAGGAAACAGCTTTCAAATGCTGCACTGCAGACATCCTAAGTTATTCGGAAAGCTCAAAAGATATTGAAATTACATATTTCCACAGTGCCCTACTCCCAGTTAGCTGAAATTTTTTTGTCATTTATGGCATTACTAGAAAAAACTATGATATAGTTCTAGTTCACATAGCTTTTGTTGTTTTTTTTTTTAATTGTCAGAGGGTATGGGTATGTGTGCCTGGGGGGAATAGACCTCTCGCTCGTGGGGCGTGGTCATATTACAGTCTTTTCTGTCTCATTTGTCCATCCTGTTGGAATTTGGGGCATGCATGCACACACATCCAGCATGTTTTTCGTGGGGCTGGGATTTGAAGTATGCAGTCAGCCGTGTGGGATCCGGCTCCTTAACCTCTAGACTCTAGGGACAGCTCCAGTTTGCATGGTTTTAAATAGGCAGGAACAAGATCAGATATTCTAAGATACTAAGTCTTTATTTGTACCATGAAATGTCTCACAGTTTTCAAGCCTGGGTAGAAAGGGGTACATTTACTTTACCATCTTTTGTTTACATTTGTATACTGCTTCTCAACAAACTAGAAGCAAGAAATGTCATCTGAAACCTGTAGGATAGTGTCAAATACAGAAGCAGTGTGGTTTTTATGTATGTGCTGTTTCTGTGGTATTCAAAATGAATGATATTTTCTTTATTTTACTCCTAAAAACATATTTTAGAGTTTCTTAATATTTACCAATACCCAGTGAATCATGAGAGAGGAAATTCATACTGAATATTTACTTCTAGCTTGAACATCTTTTGTAGCTGAATTATGATTCTTTAGATGCCATGCACAGTAAACCACACTTCCTTTCTTTAATATTGCTCTTTGTTCCTTGGGAAGATGCTGCAAGAAAATAGGAATTTCCCTTCCCCATTACCCCTCTGGCCGTGGGTTTCAGTCTAATTCCTGATGCTCTGTCTTAGTTACTACCCCTTCTCCTTGCTAGCAGTCTAAGTACTGCTTATCTGCTAAGGGGGATTCCAGACAGAGGAGGAAACAGCTTTCAAATGCTGCACTGCAGACATCCTAAGTTATTCACCCACTGTGCAGTTTGGAAATAGGGGCACACCTTTCTGGCAATGAATTCTAACGAGTTGCTAAAGATGCCAGAGTGCCTGTGTGCACATGCGTTTTCTTTCCCCTCCCCCTTTCTTCTTTTATCCAAGCCCCTTCTCCCTATTTCCCCTCCTACTCCTTTATCCCCTCCCTCTGTGTCTCAGTTCTGCAGTACACGGGCTGAAGCACATTCCGGCTTTGCAAGGCTTTCGGTTAAGGATGCATTGTGGCTTTTGTTTGGATTGCAGCATACAGAATTGCAGGTAACACTCTAAAATTGAACTAAACAGATGAATTCTGTTGAAATGCTTTCAAAGAGGCAATATATTACATTGGAATCAGTGAAGGAAATAAGTTATCTTGGCTAATTTTATTAGTGGTAATTGTAGTGAAATGTTCTCAGAAATGCTGTAAGCAAATTCCTTATCTTCCTCTAAAGGCTCAAATGGAAGGAAATGGGAGTAGATTGATCTGAGTGTGATTGATTCTGTTTTGCTTATCTTGAAAGCTTGATTTGCTGTTGCTCCTCTGTAGAGTAAGGACCAGTTAATTACATGGGGTGCTATTGAGGGTGGCCATGAATAGTGGTTACCAGGAAGGGTGGAGTAGGAGGGGTAATACTAGGCTGAACTAGTCAGGTTCTTTGATTAGGGCATTGGATGCAAAATGTAAAATGCTCTCTCCTTTTCTTCTATCAGCTGTTCAGAGGAGACTCATTACAACTCCTGATGAAGCTCCTAGTCTTCCTCCCTTCTCTTCTGCCCCTTCCCCCTATCCTCACTTGGCCTGAAGACGTTGTCCCCAGAGTTTGCCTTACTCCCCTGGTGCTATGTGTGCGGTGAACCTGGCACTATGGCCGCGTCTGGGACTGGCCAGACTACTGTTGCTGGCTCTCCCTATTCCACGAAGGATTTAAAGGGAAATTGCACTGCAGACAATGCACCAGAGCAGCAGCATCAGGAGCCTGGGGACTAAGGCTCCTCTGACATTATTGCACACATGCAAAGCTGACCGCAATGACAGCAGCTGCTCCCTTGAACTGTTGGCAGCAGCCAAGCGGCAGCATGAAGTGAGAGATCACTCCTGAGCTCAAGATGAACTCCACCTTGGATGGTAATCAAAGCAGCCGCCCTTTTTGCCTCTTGGCATTTGGCTATTTGGAAACTGTCAATTTTTGCCTTTTGGAAGTGCTGATTATTGTCTTTCTAACTGTATTGATTATTTTTGGCAATATCATTGTAATTTTTGTATTTCACTGTGCACCTTTGTTGAACCATCACACTACAAGTTATTTTATCCAGACTATGGCATATGCTGACCTCTTGGTTGGGGTAAGCTGCCTGGTCCCATCTTTATCACTCCTCCACTATCCCCTTCCAGTAGAGGAGTCCTTGACTTGCCAGATATTTGGTTTTGTAGTATCAGTTCTGAAGAGTGTCTCCATGGCCTCTCTGGCCTGTATCAGCATCGATAGATACATTGCCATCACTAAACCTTTAACCTATAATACTCTGGTTACACCCTGGAGACTACGCCTGTGTATTTTCCTGATTTGGCTATACTCCACCCTGGTCTTCCTGCCTTCCTTTTTCCACTGGGGCAAACCTGGATATCATGGAGATGTGTTTCAGTGGTGTGCGGAGTCCTGGCACACCAGTCCCTACTTCACCCTGTTCATCGTGATGCTGTTATATGCCCCAGCAGCCCTCATTGTCTGCTTCACCTATTTCAACATCTTCCGCATCTGCCAACAGCACACAAAGGAAATCAGCGAAAGGCAAGCCCGCTTCAGCAGCCCGAGTGGGGAGACTGGGGAAATGCAGACCTGCCCTGATAAGCGCTATGCTATGGTCCTGTTCCGAATCACTAGTGTGTTTTACATCCTCTGGTTGCCGTATATCATCTACTTCTTGTGGGAAAGCTCCACTGGCCACAGCAACCGCTTCGCATCCTTCTTGACCACCTGGCTTGCTATCAGTAACAGTTTCTGCAACTGTGTCATTTATAGTCTGTCCAACAGTGTCTTCCAAAGGGGACTTAAGCGCCTCTCAGGGGCCATGTGTACTACTTGTGCAAGTCAGACCACAGCCAAGGACCCTTACACAGTTAGAAGGAGCAAAGACCCCCTTAATGGATGTCATGTCTGAAGTGGCGCAGATATCGGGTGACTCTCTGTGTGGTGTGCGTATGCGTGTGTGTTTTCCTTTTTATCTCTGTATTCCTAGTTTATTAGGAAATTTGGGACAGAATAATTTGACTCTAAGTAATAGTAAAGAAGCATTCTATCCAGTACCTTCTAAGTTTGCAGAAATGATTTTCTAAAAATGTTTTTGAATCAGAAGAATCAGGATCATGAAGATAAACTGCTCTTGGTTCCAGTTTTTGAAATGTCATGGAGATTATTGCAGTTCTCAGAATTAAAACGAATACGGCCACATCTTAACACCCCTCCAGCTGGAATGACTGAACCTGAGTGTGAAAAGCGTCAGCATTTTAAAAAGTCATCATTTTCTTGTCGCTTTCTGGGTTCTTTCCAGCTATCTGGGCTTCATGTGCAATTTATTTCTTTTAACAGGGCATATTAAAATATAGTTATGAATTAACAGGGTTTTTTTTTTTAAAAAAAGGTATGCCAAAGTATAACTAACTGTACAGTAAGTTTTAACACGGTTGTTTAGAAAGCCAAATGTTTTGTGTCTTGTTCTCTTGAGAGAATTCTCAATAGGGTGAATAATGTGGACTCTTAAACAATACTTCAGAATTTTGCAGTGAATCTGGAAGCAAAAGTGCAATCAGATCATACAATTTATGAAAAACTGAGCTTTTTGTGCCATGCTTCACAGAGCTCTAAAGACATGCGTGCATAGAAGTGATTATGTTGCAGTGTTTTGGCCTATGCCTGTGTGTTATGTATTGAAAGTATTTGAATTAAGTTAGATTATTTCTCTTTTATAGCAAAATATGTTTAAACAAGCTAAAATAAGTAATAGGATGATATCCACCAATTTCATAACAGTGAAAGTATATAAAGATGTGTCTTTAGTGTTCTCTTTCTTTAATCCAAAGACTTTTGAAATATTAGAACATCAGAGAGGATGTCATAAGCAATGGAGTCCGAAACTATATTGTAGTGTAATTCATTGTTAAAATAGAAGGGAGTTAACTGAGATGTTTTCTGTGTGATTAAATGGAAGCAGCTAATACTGATTCTTTTGAAAACCATTCTTTCAGTGTTAAGGAATCCACATTTGGGAGAAGGGGAAATTCTGCTTAATTCAAGTCTCTTAATGCTATTACCTTTCTGGGAAAAAAAATTCTGTGGCATATAGTTCTTAACAGTCAGTCTGTCTCTCTCTCTCTCGCTTTCTCGCTCGCTCGCGCATGAGCACGCACACACCAGAGTATTAGAAAACTCTTAAAATTTTATTACTATTATATAGAATTACTATCGAGAGTGGTGTGTGTTGTATGTAGTAGTGGTATTTTGTTTTTAAAAGTTATATCTTTAGAGCAAGAGGTTTATTTTTCTAAAAGAAGAGGAGGATTTCCGGCAGCTCCAGGCATGAGAATATTTCCTCTACTTTTACTGTTTTTACTGTTTCTGGTTTTACTGTTTTAGAAATCTTTACGGGACTTATTTGGTCTCTGCCTTTGGCTAGATGTTGTAATCTAAATGTGACAGTAGTGTTCAGTGAGATGGACGATGGAAGAAACCCGAGGGACATGGGTTGAATTGGATTTCTGAATCCAGGAGAGGACATGGGTATTTATGAAACAGGTACATAAGCTTTGGTTTTCCATCATGGTGTTCGAAACCCCTCTTCTCAAAGATAGCATTCTTATTATTTTTAGATTTTAGACATTAGTTTGATTTTAAACTCAGACATGTTCTATTTAAACTTTAAGTGACTATTACATAAATATTCAAACTTCAGATTCTGGGTTCTTCCCAAAAGCTTACTTGCTCTTTATATTTAGTGTTAGCACATTTGATTCTAAGCTGTTTCAGAATTTAGAACTCATACTAAAATTGCAAGTTATGTTAAAATGGCTTTGCTAAATTGTCTTTTTAAGTAAAAAACCTTTTCTGATAGATTCTGAAAAATGGCCATATTGCACACGTTTCCCCTTTATATAAGTGGTACATCTCTGATAAAATAAAGTACTTTTTTTCCCACATGTTACAGAATGTCTGAATTTGCAGTTTGCTTAAGAATTTTTAGTTTAGCATATAAGTAAATCTTTGAAGACTTTATTTCCGTAGAAAATCAGTGTTAAATCAGTAAGTTTTACTTTCTTTGGTAGCTGAACCCTTTTAAGTTTAACTCCAAAAGGGTCCCATCTTATGAGACTGAGAACGAGAAAATACTTTGATTTTCTGGTAATAACTAATCAGTTTGGTCTTTTAATGACTACAAGGACAACTCTTTTTATTATCAAAATCCCATTGTAATAGAGGCATTTTTCCCTCATTAGAGACTCTAATGTTGATTTAGTGTTTCAGCCCAATACTAAAGTAGGGACTATGAATACACACAGTCATGCATCACTTAACGACTGGGACATATTCTAAAAAATGATCTGTTCAATGATCTTGTCATTGTGTAGCATCATTGAGTGTACTTACCTGAACCTCGATGCTGTATCCCACTACATACCTTGGCTCTGTGGTAATAACCTATTCCTCCACCACTGACCAAAACATTGTTATATGGTACATGACTGTGGTCATTTTAAAGAGCAATAAAAACACCCTCCCCTAACTGATACTTAATATCATGTGTCTTTCCAGTTTATCTTGCCTTCATTATATAAGGTTTCTTCCAGATATCAATTTTATTATTCTTACATTCATTGTCCATGCTGCCTTTTTATTTTATTTTGTTGTGTATCTGCATGTTGGAACAGAAAGGATACACCAAGACACAGTCATAAAATCTTCAGTGGCTGAGGGGCATTTTCTGTGTGATACCCTGAGAGCCTTATATGAGTGGTTTTTCCTTCTTACTTGAATAATGGTCTTAGTATTTTAAGAATTGGACAAACTTGAATTTTTATACTATAAATGTGTTATTCACCTCTTTGAACTTGAAAATAAAGAAGCAGGATTATAGACTCCCAGATGGTAGAATGGTTTCTGGGAGGATTTTCTCAGTTTTTCAGAAAATCTGCACGATGACTTTGTAAGAAATGTCTTAATTTCACTATGCATTTTTGTATCATAAGAGATTTGACTTTAATGTTTAAGCTTTTCATCCTGGCATTTTTAATGTAACATTTGATGACGTTTGGTTTAAATACCAATCTGACTAGTTTAGAATGAGAAAAAAGTGTATTTTTAGTCTCAATTACCTTGGCTTTGGCAGGATAGCTAGCTCATTTAACTTTATATGGTATGTGACTGCTATCAGAGGAAGCATGTCCTTTCAGTGATTGTTGGAAATTATTTCATACTTTTTTCCTTTTCATTTTAATAAGCTATGTCATGATCCTCCTGTTTCAGCCTCCAGAGCAGCTGGATCTACAGGCATGCACTGTACCTAGCTTTTAGGGTGGTCAGGGAATCAAGCTTGAGCCTCCCATGTGAGCTTCCTGAGTAGCAGGGTTAACCAACATATACTGCTGTGTGTAGGCCTATAATAAATTTTGAAATAAAATTGTATTCGTTGTTAAAAGTGTAAATTAGTTGTGGGTTTTAGTGCAGTATTTCCTCTTAGAGTAAAGAATCAATCACAGATGGATTAAAACTCTACTTTAACAAGAGCACTATCTTACTCCAGAGTGATGATTTGAATTTTTCATGGACTTGTTGATTCTTAACTCAAAAGTTGTTTGGAAAAAGATTTTCTGTAAGCATTATTGCTAGATAAATTTGTTTTGAGCCTTGTATGAATGGCTTTTCCTTCCTACTTGAATAATATCCTTAGTATTTTAGGAATTGGACAAACTTGAATTTTTGTACTATAAATGCATCATTCACCTCTTTGAACTTGAAAACGAAGAAGCAGGATTATAGGCTCCCAGATGGTAGAATGGTTTCTGGGAGGGTTCTCTCAGCTTTTGAGAAAATCTGCACAATAATTTTGTGAGAAATATCTTAATTTCACTGTGTGTTTTTGTATCATAAGAGATTTGTGAAATAAATTATTAGCAAACAACTAATCTGCTTGTTATAGGAATAGATTTTGGAAAGTTTAAGAATGGGAGAATTATGGCACTATGAGTTTTAAGTCTATAAATAATTTTGTGTATTGATTTTTGCATAATTTTTCCATTTTCAGGTTGAAGAAAAATGAAATATTAGTATTTCTATTAAAATAACATTAATAATATGTAGATATTTCCTATGGCTGTAAGTGAATCATTCTGCTGTTCTTCAAAATTTTGGTGACAAAAGGATATCACTTTATGATTAAAAAAAAAAAAACTTTGAACTAAGAATCAAAAGATTCAGATTTGTGTAACTTATTAACAACTTTCATAAGTTAAGCCAAGTAACTTCTCTAAGCACTTAATTTCTTCTATAAAAGGAACTAATGGGGGACCAGCAGGTAGTGGAACGGTTACATCACTGGACTCCCACATAGTTGACCATGGTTCAAATCCCAGACCCAGTGACAAAACTCACACCAGGCACATGGACATGCATACCCAAGATCCCAAGAGAAGAAGGGAGTGTGGTCATCCCCTTTGGGGGATTTCTCACTTTCTGTCTCTCTCTGTCTCTCCAGCGAGCACAGGTGCGCTAATAGAAACAGCCTCTCTCTCTAAAAAAAAAAAAAAAAAAAAAAAAAAACGGAAGTAAAGGGACCAGCAAGTGGCATGGAGGTTAAGGCAGCTGGATCACCCACATGGCCAACTGCAAAAGTTGAGATCTGGACCTGGTGACCTGAAAGACATGCCAGGCACGTGTGCGTACGTGTCCAAAATCCTGACAGGAGAAAGGAGGAGAAGGGATTGTGGCATGACCTTTCCACCCTAGGGATGATTTCTCACTCTCTCTGTATCTGTCTTTGTTGAGCCCACGAACCCTATAGCAAACTTAAAAACAACAACAACAAAAAGCGTTAACAATTCTTTTATGCCTCACATGATTACTTTGAGCGTTCCATTAGGTTGTCAATGTGAAAGTACTTTGCAAATTTTAAAGTGCTTTGTGAATAAAAAGGATTGCTCTTATTTGTATCTGCCTTACCTTTATGTGTAAAGAAGCCATACGTCCTGATGCTTCCCTGCTTTGAGATCTTTGAAGCTCAATACTAGATCACTATTGCATGCTGCGTAGCAATTTCAGACGCGAGAAGAGAGGTAAGGTAAATCCTTACCTTTCTAAAATGGGAGTAGCCTTAAATTCAATATAAAATTGCTTTCTTTACTTGCTTGTCAACAAACTCTGAAGTTAAGGGTCAGTGTTTCTTGATGTCTTTTTCTGAAATTAACAGGATCTGACTCAACAGAAGTTCTAGTAAATTTTACACTCAGTGTCTGACTACTTATTAGGTCGTTGGGAAAGTCATGATGTATTTTTCTGTTTTTCTATGCAAAAATGCATCATGACTTTCCTGATGACCTAATATCACTTCCAGTCACCAGCTATGTCTTTTCTGTAAGGGATTATAGGGCAGTGATGTTTTAAAATGTAGTCCAGGGTCCCATAAGTACCCTTCCATTTGATCTAGGCCTCTAGATTCTAAAAAGTAAATAATACCTCTTTTTAGTACCAAGAGGCTAGTGTGGAGATGTGAAAGCTCTAAGCACTGTAGCTTCAGGCTATGCTATTAGATTGCTCGTTTCTCTCAGCATGGATAAGAAATATGTAGTTGCATCATACCTTCTTGACTCTGGATCCAGATAAAGACAACTGTAAAATCAGTCACAAGGGAAGAGAAGGTATAGAAAGCCTTCATAAAAGAAACTTTTAACTATGTAGTTTTGCTTTGCCTCCCTCTCAGTCGTCGCCAGTTTTCTAGCTCTTTCTTCCTTTCTTTTCTTAATACCCTAATGATCATGTATCCTGAAGGAAATATTTCAAATGCCATAGGGTGTAGAAAATTATATTATGCAAGAGCAGTGGCTGTTAGGCAAAGTCTAAGAACCAATAGAGACACACTTAACCAAGCAAGCATTGCTGTGTGCAAGACAGTGTAGCTGGCCTTAGAGGGGAAGCTAAAGAACTATCATCCCTTTCTTGTAGAATTGTGTAGTCTTCAGATGTTTCATGTGGAAAAATTCTGTGATTATCTATCTTCTAAGAAGCCTCACAGCATGACTATCTGGAGGAGTTTACTAAAGCCTCGTGGTAGGACACCCAGTGGATCTGTTTCTTGGGGTGAGTTCACTTAATGCCAGTTTATAATATCATAATGTTATTTTATTAGTTTAAAATAAGAAATAGATACTGGCAATAGACAGTACTC